AACGACTTTAAAACCCTAACATGTTAACCATCGACTGAGTAATAAATAGATTAACGTAATTTGCATCAAAATTCATTACAGTCTCTGTAAGCTTCTTATTAAAACGTCTTTGACTTAGCATTCTTATTGCTCATTTATGTATTTATTATTCTAGATCCGAAACAACTGTTCTTTCAGCAGTAATTAACTTTTATTTTAAGGTTCCGATATACAGCATGTTGTAATGGGAGATTCTAGGGGCCAAAATAAGATTAAAATCAAGAATAGCAATTTGTTGATTGAGGCTTCGTTAAAAAGTTATAGAAACATTTCCGACCACGCAGTATATTTTCGATACTGAATTTCTTTCTCAAAAGTACGTAGGATTTCAGAGGTATGTGTATTCACCAAAAATGATTGTAATTGACACCCGCAACCAAAAATAATTTTTCCAGAACGATTTGAAATTTTTCAATTTTGTCGACAAAGTCCACCTACTCGAATTTTATTCTCGAAAGTGCGTGAGATTTCGGGGGTGTGTCTATTCACCAAAAATGATTGCAATTGACGCCCCAAATCAAAAATAATTTTTCCAAAATGATTAGAAATCTTTTCAATTTCGCCGAAAAAAGGCACAGTCGATTTTTCTTAAAAATTCGTTTTTCATTTTTAATAAGTTTGTCTAACGCTGTACGGAAAAGTTGTCTAATACGTTTTTGTAGGTATCCATGAACTCTACTTCCTCCCAAAATTTCATTGGAATATATTTACTATTGTAGGAGTTATGCTAACTACTGTTTAACAATTGGACCATTTTTATGGTTTTTTTTTCACTTTACGGGGCTAAGGAGCAACTTTTCGAATATTTCTCTAATTTCTACAGATTCTTGATTAAAACACGCGCTGTTTGCCTTTTAAAACATTAAAATCCTCCAATCCGTTCAGAAGTTATGATGTTTTAAACATACCCATGAAATTTCAGTGAAACATGTCAATGGATGGTCAGGCATGAAATTTTTGGTAATGAATTTTTTTCTCGAAACTGCGTAGGATTTCGGGGTTATGTGTATTTACCAAAAATGGTTGTAATTGGCCCCTGCAACCAAAAATAATTTTTTCAGAATGATTTGAATTTTTTTAATAACTTTTTAGTGAAGCCTTAATCAAGAAATTGATATTCTTGACTTTCGTCTTATTTTGGAATCTAGAATCTCCCATTAAAATTTTTCCCAGGGACGAGCACCCTGTGGAATATGCTCAAAGTAAGATCACCTTAGTTTGTTTTTCTTTTCTTAAACTTTAATCAATATGTCGAGTTTGACTTTTTTTTAAACATATTGTTTGTACCGATTTGAAATTGAAATACCATTAGTACAAGTAGAAAACGGAGTATTCGACCGATAATGATAATTCTTTTAGAGAATAAACTTATAAACCAAAATAGGATAAAGTGAAATAATGTAATAAAAAAACATTTGATTATTAAATACCTATTAAGTATTTCAGCTGAAACAGCTGAATGTATTTCAACGGAACTTCATACTTAAGTTAGCGTTCTTACCCCATAATCTGATTAGATTCCGATTAATTTTCATCAATGTTATCTCTATCTTTTCTGCTAATAAAAAAAATACATTACATTATTGATCTTAGTTTTGCTTTGGTTACTAGTATCACTTCTTGGAAGGAATCACCATTAATATCCGGAACACCCTGTGTAGTGACACGCCAAGGTATTGGTGTAAGGCATTCTTCTGCGGTAATTTCTAAACACGCAATTATGCAAAGAATTCCTTAACGCACAAAGAGTTCACGCTGGTATATTAAAAGCGAGCCTTTGATCCCTCAGAATTCACAAGAAACGGATATCATTAAAATCGGGAATGGCCATGCTTGCGCAGAAAGTCAGGAACATCGTAATTTGTGCGAAATCATATTCATGGTCCGTTCCAAAAGTTGTCCCAACTTAAATTAAACCAACACTTTTTCACAAACGGATAATCATTTTTGTAATAAGGTATTGGAAGAGCATCGTTTCTGAAGAAATACGTGATTTACAATGTTTGTGGAAGCTCTTGCAACACCTTTGATCCGCCCTCCATAAAATGGTGCAAGAAGACATGTTCGAAGCCTTTTGAATGTCTGATATCACGACGAACAGCTTTCCTTGCAATTTACACTTTGGCTTTAATGGCATCGATGCGATACTGGTAAGTATCGATGTGTGCTATATTACAAGCGAGCAAAGAGCTACGCCATTAGTGTGCATTACTTTTCTATTCAAAAGATATAGCGTATTTTCGAACGTGACAACTAGTGATAATAAGGTGGTGGAATAGTAAACTGAGTAAGAGTCAGGTGAATTTAACGTCATGTAATTTGTAAACAGCCTTACAAATATCGTCGTATGCACTTTGCTTCTTAATATTAAAAAATACAATCACTACACTATAAATAATTTGTATACTTAAAAAAAAGAGGACGAAAGAGAAAGTAACAGAAAATTGAACCAATTTAAAAAAATAGATATTTACGAATTACAGAAATAAAAGGCAATAATTACTAGTGATAATAAACAATCATTGGAAACATCCACCTTCGCTATTCGCCAGATTTGGTTCTTTCTAATATTTTTCAAATTGCAAGAAATGCAATTTTGTTACGCCTTTCGATGAGGCAAGAGCTTCTACAGACAAAATACGTATTCCTTCAGAAGGGATGCATTTACAATACTCGATTACAAAGATCGTTATTATTTCGTGTAAAAGTGTTACTGTAATTTCAGTTTAAAGTCGTCGGGAGCGTGTATTTCGCACAAATAATGTCCCTGATTTTCTGTGCAGACGTCAGTGCATGCTTTTAAAGATTTTTCATTTCTCATAAATTCAGCAAGACCAAAGGACCTCTTTTAATATACTCAGAGCAAACACAAGCACGGCTCGGCGGTGGGTTTCAAATTCCTAACGCCAAGTTTAACGAGGTCATCTCTCTCACCTTTAATCAAATACGATTCACGCGTGTCGAAAGGTAATATTCTCTTCAGAGGGTCTCGTGACATTTTCGTAATGACTTCGTTTCGTTCGCCAGCCAGGAAATGTTTTTTGCTGCGTATCGACCATGAGAAATTGGGTCAGTCGCGATTAAAGATGTCCATTTTATTGCGAGAGACGGTGACATCCGACGGATTATCCCGATGCGAACGCAGTCGGACAACTTCAGAAATCTGTTGCTCTCATTGTCTTCATTTTCCGCGGGCTTTGATTTTGTTGTTTTTTCTCTACTTTTCATTTCCCGGGGATTGAATACTCTCCAAACGAATACTCGGAATGTCAACGAACACGCTACAGTGTATCAAATTTAAGGAGAATAAGAAAATCTTACGATTTATCGTGGAACGATCCATTCATAATTGTAATTACAGCGGGGGTAAAAAGTATTCGTACAGCAATCAATTTCCACAAAACCTTTATAGAACTTTGTTTATTACAAAAAGATGCATATGTATTCTCAGAAATCTGAAGAACAAAATTAAAAATAAATTGCTTATTTATATTTTCTATGAAACTATTAACGAAAGTCTTGAATTCCTGTTTCATGACACTATAACAGGGTGTTCGGCCACACCTGGGAAAAATTTTAATGGAAGATTCTACAGGCCAAAATAAGACGAAAATCAAGGATATTAATTTGTTGATTGAGGCTTCGTTCCGGCCACGCAGTATATTTTCGGTAAAGAATTTTTTTCTTGAAAGTACGTAGGATTTTTGCGGTATGTGTATTCACCAAAAATGATTGTAATTGACCCCTGCAACTGAAAATAATTTTTCCAGAACGATTTGAAAGTTTTTTTTTTCGTCGAATTTATGCACCTAATTAGACTTTCGATAAGGAATTTTTTTCTCAAAAGTGTGTTAGATTTCGAGGATATGTATAATGACCAAAAATGATTGTAATTGAACCCCGCAACCGAAAATAATTTTTTTAGAACGATTTAAAAAATTTTTTTTTGTCGAAAAATATCAGCACCTACCCGATTTTTTTTCTCGAAAGTGGATAGGATTTCGGAGGTATGTGTATTCACCAAAAATGATTGTAATTGACCCCTGCAACCGAAAATAATTTTTCCAGAACGATTTGAAATTTTTGAATTTAATTGTTAATAACTTTTTAACGAAGCCTCAGCTAAAAAATTGATATTCTTGATCTTCGTCTTATTTTGGCCTCTAAAATCTCCCATTACACATTTTCCCAGGAATGGCCGAACACCCTGTATAACATGATCTAAAATAAGAATATGTAAGGTATTAATGGTCGTTCGTGACCTTAAATAAAATAAAAACAAAAATGATGTTGATAAAGTTCCATAAAATGTTTGTGGAAATTGACAACTGTTTGAATACTTTTTGCACCTACTGTATGTCGTATCGTATTGACATTTCATAAATCTAGTTATTCAGAAAATCCTATCCCAACATGTGATTTAAAAAGTGATAATTAATTAAATAATTTAAAATACCTGGAATAGAATTAGACAGAATCGAGATTCGTCTATTCTTTGTTTCCTCGTTCTACATTTAAACGCATTCCAGTTGCGACATAGCCCGTTTGTCCTTCCCAGAGATACAAAAAACGGTACCAATCCAATGCAAAAAAGAAACAAATCGAAAAGTTATGCAGTTTGTTAACGAATCTTATTCATCCGTTTTAAGCCAGTGACTTTCCTTGTCGCTCTACACCAGTCCATCCGTACGTTCGCGTGCGATTGGATAAATCTGATATTTTGAGACTCGAATCCCCTATTAGCCCACATTTAGATGCCAGATCCCTCCCGAACTTTCAACATTCGTATTACGCTTTATGCTGATCTCCTGGAACGCGGTGCACATTCCGACCGCTTCGTTCGAGTATCGACGTTTTCGACGTTGAAGTTAACAATTTCTTCGCAGGAATCGCCAATACTTTAAACGTCGGGGGGCGTCTTCGAGGAGAACATAGAAAACACGTGGAACGTTTGCACTCACCTCTTCCCAAACGAGTTGTTTGCTCACGCCTGGACGAAGATTCATGATTTTCAGTTCGGCTGCTTTGAGAACGCCGTCTTGAGTGAACTCCACGTTCGGTTTTCCTTGATCGCCCTCCACCGACACGTTCTTCAAGTACCTGCCCACAAAGAGGAAACGCACTTTGTACTTGAAAATCGCGTACCAGCGCTGTGCAGTTTATTTTTCACGATTCACATCCAAATGCAAACGAAGGAAATATAGAAGATTCTTGTGATTAACACTTTGACTGCCACATCCATACAGGATGTTCGGCCACCCCTGGGAAAGATTGTAGTGGGAGATTCTAGAGGTCAAAATAGGACGAAAATCAAGAATACCAATTTATTAATAGAAGCTTCGTTAAAAAGTTATTAACCTTTAAAGTTTCACCCGTACTGAATTTTTTTCTCGAAATTGAGTAGGATTTTGGGGGTATGTCTATTGACTAAAAATGATTATAATTGATCCCTGCAATTAAAAATAATTTCTTTAGACCGATTTGAAATTTTTCAATTTCGTCGAAAAAGTTCACCTTCCTGAATTTTTTTCTCAAAATTGCATAGAATTTCGGGGGTATGTCTATTCACCAAAAATGATTGTAATTGAACCCTGCAAACGAAAATAATTTTTTCAGAACGATTTGAAACACATGACATTTTAGGGGAATCATTCATTCATGATCAGATATTATATTTTCGTTGATGAATTTTTTTCTCGAAACTGGGTAGGAATTCAGGGGTATGTCTATTCACCAAAAATGATTGCAAATGACCTCCACAACCAAAAATAATTTTTTCAGAGGGATTTGAAATTTTTTAATAACTCTGTAACAAAGCCTTAGTCAAGAAATTGATATTCCTGATTTTCGTCTTATTTTGGCCTCTAGAATCTCCCATTAAATTTTTTCCCAGGTGTGACCGAACACGCTGTATATGAGTGACTGAATTTTTTACTATGGAATTAAAATAATTAATTGTCAGGTTAAAATGTTACAGGAAATAAATTTGAATAGTATTCATGGATTTCGGTTAGTTTACGGAAATAAGTGCTAAGACAAATTTTGATTCATGTAGTTTACAATTGCGTAAAGGCAAAGTTTTGATCTCCTAAGAAATATTACGATTTTGGTTTGGCAGTCAACGTGTTAAAAAAGATTTGAAAAGATAAATTCCCTTAAATTTTTTTACTCGAAAGTTACGTATTATTAGCAACTCGGGAGAAAAAGACAGTTTTTCAATTTTCCGGAAAATATACGTTGAAAATTACATTTCTCTTCATTTATCTCATTTATCGGATAAATGAAGGAATTGGAGAATATACATACATATATCCAGAAAATAATTTCTACGTTTGCTTGATTTAATTTTTCCATTATAAAATTCCAACTAAACGAGCAACTTCTCGAGCAATTTTTTTTGTAACTTTTAGAGCACAGATGGTGAAAATAATTAATTAACGTGGAATGAAAGGAATTGCACATTAATAGCATCGTTAAAAAACTGTGATATTATCTCGTAAAAATATAATAGATAATATTACTTATGTACCATGGACATATTTATATAAATCCATGAATATTCTGTAAAACAGTAATTTCCTTGCATCACCAAATTGATTAATAAATAATGAAAACATAAATACGTTTGATCGAAGAATAATTACTTGAAGAACAGGTCTCCGGTGTTCCAGCGAGATTCACCGTAGCTTTCTTCGCAGCTTAGCTGAGTATTCAGGCTGAGGTTTTCGTTATCCTGATCGTTCAAAAAGTCCTCGACACCGTACGCGTAAACTTTGACCGCGGTTGTGATCTCGCTCACCAGGCTCTCCGTGCTCGTGTCAAAGTGGACACCTGAAAAAAGAAGCGTTAAAACTGAAAACGTGTACACGCATGAGCTAAACGAGAACAAGCTTCCATTAGAAATAAATACGAGCAGTACGTCGGAGGGCACAGAAACCTGACACAAGGAACGCCAGTTGACAGACGAGACTGACTCGAGGGACTTTAATTAAATTCCTTTTGAAACAATTCACCGTCGTCGATCGTTTGGTAAAACGAAAGTGTCGATCGTCAGAGACACGGATATGTGAACCACGCCTCTGTAAATAAATCGGTGGAAACGAATAATTTATTAGCTGTTTATCCTCGAACGTGCGGTCCACTAACGATAGAAACGTAAACGTTTACGCCTCTAATTAATTTTAATCGCCGAAGAGGGAATGGAATTTCGTTTTTATCGCGGACGAGAGCCGCTCGATATTTCGAGTGGCCGGCCGTTGAAAAGGACATTCGGAAGCACGGTGAAAATCACGGAAATCGGAAATTGATGCCTTCCTCGGATTCCATCTTGGTTGCCCTCCGAGGACGAATAAATTCATGGAATTCTGTCTGACAGAAATATTCAATACATCGAAACCTACGTGCTTTTCCGGATCTCTTGCGTTTTCGAGGCAGAAAGCTTTAAATACGACGGTTCAATGAATTTTACTAGAATTTTTATCACGGATGACGTACCGTGGAATTTTTATAAGAAATTTTATAATCGTCGACTGACAATCAGTGGGGTCATTCTACGCGAAATCAGACCTTTGGAGTAAGTTTTCAAATTGTGTTCAATTTTGAATATTTTATTTAGCGAGGTTTAAACGTATCTGGAAAAATTTTTCAAAATTTTGTAAATCGTTCAAGTTACAGACGTGTAAAGTTGAGTGCTACCTTTCTTTAAAAAGCTATAACTATTGGATTAATAGACGGATGAGAATATGCTTTTGACTGCTTGTAGCGAAGGCATTAGTGTTCCAAAATTAAAATTTTATCGATTAAACAAAAACTATTTTTCATCATTTGCTTTGTAATTGTTTGAAACAAAACCGAGGAGAAGGCATTAATTATTGGGAACATTTCTGTGCAACTATTTGACGAAGTCGTTAAAATCATGGCCGGGGGAAAAAAATTTAATTTCTATTAAAAGAGACGGTTTAAAACTGCAAATTCAAAACGTTTTATTTCAAATAATTTAAGAGAACGTTATTCACTTTTCAAACAAGGATATCCGTTAATAAAAGTTGGATGCAGTAAATTTGTTTAGCTTTTGAAGAGTGTGTGTTAACAGGATCCAACCTCTTTCTGTGTATGCATGTCCCACAGATTAAAATGTGAAGTTAATATTTGCTGGAGCCAAATTGCAGAAGTTAATAATTGTGCTTTGTTCAAACACAAAATTAGCATAAATTGTAGAAATATAGTTTTCCATATTTTAATTCGTATTGGTTTGGCAACTAAGTAATTGCGGATTTTTGTAATAAAATAAAAGACAATTTTTTTATGGAACGAAATAACTTTATTTAGTAATTTATTTACCGTTTTTAATAATGACCTTTTGCCATTTTTCAAGCAACATCAAAATTAGTTTTTATTGACAAAAACTGTGATTTTATATCATGATCATTATTTAAATTTTGATCATTCAAGAAGTTTCTAGAATATACTGGGAGATTCTAGAGGCCAAACTAAGACGAAAATTGAGAATATCAATTTCTTGACTGAGGCTTCGTTAGTAAGTTAGTAAGTTATTAAAAAATTAAATTAAAAAATTTCAAATCATTCTGAAGAAATTATTTTCGATTGCAGGAGTCGATTACGATCATTTTTGGTCATCACATGTACCCACGAAATTTTACGTATTTTCGAGAACGAATTTTCCGTATCTTTAAAACGTCATAATTTCTGAACAGATTGAAGGATTTTAATTTTCCGAAGTGCAATCAACGCGTATTTTGGTGAAGAATATGTAGAAATTTTAACAATACTGAAAAAGTTGTTCCTTGACCCCGTAAACTGAGGAAAACACCATAAAAATGGTCTAATAATCAAACAGCCACAACTCCTACAATAATGAATATATTTCAATGAAACTTTTTTCTGAAGTAGAGCGCATGGGTATCTACAAAAAAGTATTAGACAACTTTTCTATAGAGAGTCAAACAAAATTACTAAAAAACAAAAACGAATTTTTAAGAAAAATCGACAGGGTTATGTAGGTGCCGAAAAAAAAAATTTCAAATCGTTTTAGAAAAATTATTTTCGATTGGAGGGGTCAATTACAATCATTTTTGGTGAATAGTCATATCCCCGAAATCCTGCGCATTTTCGAGAAAAAAATTCAGTACGGGCGGAACTTTAAACGTTAATAACTTTATAACGAAGACTCCATCAACAAATTGGTATTTTTGATTTTCGTCCTATTTTGGCCTCAAGAATCTCCGATTACAATTTTTGTCCAGTGGCCAAAGATGTGTGTGGCCTTGCATTGTCATGGTGGAACACAATACCTTTACTATTTTCCAATTCTGGTCGATTTCTTGAATCGCATAATTCAGTTTGGTTAGTTGTTGAATGTACACATCTGAGTTGATCGTTTGGTCGCGTGGTAAAAGTTCAAAGTGGACGATTCCTTTGTAATCCCACCAAACTGATAACATAATCTTCTTTAGACGAATGTCAACATTGGTTGTCGTTTCAGCTGGTTCATCTTACTTTCTCCACGATCTTTTTTGATCGACATTGTTGTAAACAACCCATGCTTCATCTCTAGTTATCAATCTTTTTAAAAATGGATCATTTTCGTTACGTTCCATGAGCAAATCGCAGATGTTAATGCGTTGTGTTAAGTGAATTTCTTTGAGCTCATAAGGAACCCATACATCGAGTTTCTTTACGTAGCCAAGTTGTTTTAAACGCTTTTCAATGCATATATGCGATACATCGAGCTTCTCTGCACTCTGGCGTGTTGTACTATCGCGATCCGAATCGATTAATGCTTTGATTTGGTCTGAACGTTGTTTATCTTCGAGTGAACAATCACCGGAATAAAATTTAGCGAGCCAATTTTGACACTGCCGCCGTTTTTTCCTTTGCTCATGTAAACGCGAGGCCAAACAGAAATTACACAATCGATCGATACAATGTTTTTTTTGAATCACAGTTAAAGTACTAACTATCAGACAACAATATGGGTTTGACGTTTCGAATACATAAAAACACGTAACAATTCAACTAGAGCCATCTATCAGTGAAATCCACAATTACATAGTTGTCAAATCAATACTTTCATTAGCCTCCTTATTTACATTATTATATACTAATATTTAATTAATAAAATCATATTAAATTTTTAATACTTTCCTACTGTTTACTATTCTGGTTTCCTGTCAATTCTTATCGAACCGGATATAATTAGGACGTAGGGTCGCTCGTTCTGAAAATTTGACTCACGATTCCGCGGATGAAATTACACGGATGAATTTCCAGCAATTTATCAAAAGAGATTTGTCCGTGAGTCGTAAAACGAATGGCGTAAACTCACCGAGCATCCCGACCGGAAATTGGTTGGAGGTCTGCAAGTTCTCGATGACGCTCTGCGTGACCACCCACACGTAATTCTCTCCGGTGATCTTGTAATCGTGAGCAGCATTGAGAATGTGAGTAGCCTCCTCCCTCGTCGAATAGAGTAACATGACTCTGGATTCGCTGTTGACCAGCTCGAGAAGGTCGTGGGGCTCGGTGACCAAAATGGCACTTAATATCGTGAACTTGAAGGTGTCCTGCATGTCCGAGATTCTCTCTCTGACCGCCTGGACAAAGTCGTCGTGCCCGGCGATCTGCGAGGTGACTACGCTGAATTGATGCCATTTGTACCTCTCGAGTATGCTCAACATAGCGGCCGTTTGGTGCTCCAACGATGGCGCCAGCTGCAGCTGCAGGTTACTCTGCGAAGCCCTCTGGAAGCACGAGAAATCCGAAGTGTTCAGTATGCATACCAATGACGGAAGTATTGCAATTATGATAAATATTCAAAGGGTATAGTCGAATAACCATGGTAAAAGTGTTCCCAAACCAAATTCAACTTTGGACGTATGAATAGGTAGGCCCCAGTAACAAAACTTTTTCTGCCGAATGTTAAATTGTAATGGGAGATTCTAGAGGCCAAAATGAGACGAAAATCAAGAATACTAATTTGTTGATGGAGGGTTCGTTAAAAAGTTATTAACATTGAAAGTTCCGCCCGTACTGAATTTTTTTCTAGAAAGTGGGTAAGATTTTGGGGGTAGGTCTATCCACCAAAAATGATTGTAATTGACCCTCGCAACCGAAAATAATTTTTCCAGAACAATTTGAAATTTCTTTTTGTCGCCGACAAATTTAGGTACCTCTACACCCTGTCAATTTTTCTTAAAAATTTGTTTTTCAATAACTCACTACTTGTTTTGTTAACTCACTATCCTTACTATTAGGTTAGTTGTAAGACAAAACACAATTTACAGTTTAAGATCCATCTCTTTTGTTATATAGAATATCGAATTATAAAAAAATGCATGGACATTCTAACTGAAAGCGTAAGCGTTTTTTGAATTTTTTTAGAATTTTTAGCTGCAAAACGGAATTTTAAACAATTAGTAGTTTTAAAATGCCGATTTTTATATTGAAGTTGTCGAGTGAGTTTCGAGAAAAAAATTCTTTACCAAAAATCTAATGTGAGGCCAGAAATTCTCTGAAATTTCATGCGAATCTTTAAAATGTCATAACTCGTGAACAGATTGGAGGATTTTAATTTTTCAAAATGTAAACAACGCGTATTTTAGTGGAGAATATGTAGAAATTCTAACAATATTGAAACAGTTGTTCCTTGACACCGCAAAGTGAGAAAAACCCCCTAAAACTAGTCCAATTTTCAAACGGCCATAACTCCTACAATAGTGAATATATTTCAATGAAACTTTTTTCTGAAGTAGAGCGCATGGGTATCTACAAAAAAGTATTAGACAACTTTTCTATAGAGAGTCAAACAAAATTACTAAAAAACAAAAACGAATTTTTAAGAAAAATCGACAGGTGCTTACATTTCTCGGCGAAACAAACATTTCAAATCGTTCTAAAAAAATTATATTCGATCGCGGGAATCAATTACAAACATCTTTGGTCAACAGACATACCCCCGATATCCTAACCATTTTCGAGAAAAAAATTCAGTAGGGGCGGAACTTTAAACGTAAATAATTTTTTAACGAAGCCTCCATCAACAAATCAGTATTCTTGATTTTCGTCTTATTTTGGCCTCTAGAATCTCCCATTACATTTCCAGGGGTGGCCGAACACGTAGTATAATAGTTAATCGAGTGGCGCGTTTCTTTCCGTCTTATTCAACCGTTATTATGAAAATACAATTTGTTCAACGTAATTAAAAACTAACAACTGAATCTCTCTTGCAATTGAAATTCGATTCAATAAATTTTGAATTATTTGACTAATCGATTAAAAATATTATTGATTTGTCCCGACTTTGTTTTCCTTCTTCGAACGTAGCGGTTGCTGCGTTTAGTCAGAAGGGTGGAGACTGTCAAAGACATTTTGTTTGACAAATTTAAATTGAAACTCAATGGCGCTGGGGAGGATTTCAATATCATTCTATTTCGAGTAAATGGATAGAGTTAGTAAGGAACTGAGTCGGGTGGATTTTAAAGGTGTTCCTCAAGGATCTCGTTGAAGAACCAAAGTCGATTGAATTCGTTCAACTGTCGAACCGAATGAGAGATTAAGAAGCGGTTGTCTCTCCTGGATGGAAAAAAATTTAACAAAGGAGCATTCCAAATATAACTATAATAAAATATTAGCTTTCACTATTCGCAGTCGTAAGTTTTCTGTTCCTATCGCTGATGCTGCACCACTTACCATGCAACAGATTTTTTAAAATGCCAATTGTTTTATAGTGTAATAAATTTAGAAATACATAAAGATATTAAAAATTTGAGAACTAAAGTAGATTATTAAATTGGATTTAAATGGGATTATTTTACAACTAATGTCAAACACAGGGTATACAGTGCTTCCTTATTTTAAACAGTCGCTACAAATTATTTTTTAATGTTCTTTACATACATTTTTATTACAATTTTGGCTAATTTGAAAGAAACGTCTCTTTATTAAACACAAATGACAACTTGAACAATTTATCCGCTTTTTTTGTAGTTTTATTGATGGACCAAGAATAGTACTTTCCTCAACAGCGCTTATAGTGTTAAGAATTAGTTTCAAAGAATAAATGATGGAAGTTTTATCTTTGGATCAAAGGAGCCCTTACCTGAACCCAATTGAAGGGGAATTTTAGTTAGAATGATTTATGCCAATGGGGAACAGTATTCGAACGTGAGTGAGCTGGAAGATGACATCCGACAATCGTGGTCTCAAATCGAATTGGAAACTGTACGTAAATTAACAAAATATTTCAAGTGATACTAAATAAAAGAAAATATAGTAAATTTTAAGTTCTATTTGGTATTGTGTATTAGGGTTATTCTTTTGTTACCTTCTCAAGTATTTGTTCATTATTTATTGAAAATATATAAAGTGAACCGATATTTATTTCATACAGAAATATCAGTTATTTATAACACAAAATTTTTTAGTAATATTAAAAGGAGTTAATACGTTAAATTAAACTATATTATATTGTTACTTATCCCAAAAATGTATAATTATAATTAATAAGATGAACCTATCATTATTTCGGCCACTGTATTCGTAAAGAAGACTTTGATGAGGGCTGGCACTAAAAGGGTTAAATCCTCCTTTGCACTCTATAAGCACTGTTCCTATCGTCGATATCGTAAAACAGAATACTTCCACGAAAAGCACTTACGCGGTTACCTAAAATTTTACGATCGTGTTTATTGCGAGAGGAAACAAAATTAAAACCTAAAACCTGGGAATTTTCCCCAAATTAAAATTACTGACGAGCGAACACGGCGTTTTTTGCTTCGCGAGGAAAAAACAAGTTTAACGAGACTAAATTCAAAAATTCAAAAACAAATATTTCCAACCGAAATTCAAACCTCTCTCTTATCTATATTAACAATCAACCTCTCATTTACTATAAACAAATTTCAACATAACATATGATGATCTGCAAATAATTATTTTCTTTCCAATTGGTTCGTGGAAAACGACTTGCAAAGTTTCATAAAATCTTTTGACGTATTCTGAACACGAGGTCGCTTCGTTTCAATGCAGTTTACGCGAATAACAGGACAAAAGAAGTTGTTTGATTGTAGAGCATCGACTCACCCGTTCTAATCCCGAGTTATCGGCGTTCCATGCAATCACCGGGATCCCGAGATAGCCAGCCAATTGCAGAAAGTATTGAGCACTGGCAGTACTACGGCCGTATTGTTCGTAATTCATCAGGTACAAGATGGCTGACACGTTCGTTGGCAGAAACTCTTTGCAGAGCGAGTTCAGTATAGCTGAAACATAAGTGCACCATCTAAAGTCGTCAGTCGGCAACGATGAGAAACATGTCTGTGAATTAAAATTCATTTTTCTTTCCTGAAATCTCGAGAATATATTTATTCATTAGTCCCTCGCCGAGGAAACTTTAAGCTATAAATCTACGCACTACGTCTTCGGGGGACTGAGTAAACTAAAAGGGTAATGAAATAATATCTTCATTCTTGTTGTTTAAAAACTGTTTAAAATTCAGATGGTAACGTGAATTTTTGTTAGTTGAAGAGAACAGTCGCTTCCAGACCACGATAAATTTATTACGCCCGACGTTTCGGTCAATTTATGACCCACTTTAGCGGTAAATACTACAGAGTTTTCCACGCAACTAGGTCGAGGCATACCATTAAAATAGTAAAAGGGACAAAAATTACTTTAGGAAACGTATTTGTATTAGAGTTGATCAATGAATAGTATAATATAAAGGATACTTTACGTGTAGCTTTTCATCATTGTATGTAGTCCCAACTTTTTGCATAAAATGTCTTTTAAATTGAATATTTTTCAACCCTAGTAAGCTAATCTTTTTTGCCGCGTAAAAAAAATATATACTTAATTTTTCCTAATGAAATCTTTCTCTATCTTTTACTATTTGAATGATATGGACAGAACCATTAGTGTGTAACCTGTATAAGTGAAACATAGAAATATAGTAGAAGTCATACATAAGAGAAATTATACAGGGTGTTCGACCATCCCTGGGAAAAATTTTAATGGGAGATTCTAAAGAACAAAATAAGACGAAAATCAAGAATATCAATTTCTTGACTGAGGCTTCGTTAAAAAGTTATTAAAAAATTACATTAAAAAATTTCAAATCATTTTGAAAAAATTATTCTTGATTGCAAGAGTCAATTACAATCATTTTTGGTGAATACACATACCCCTGAATTCCTACCCACTTTCGAGAAAAAAATTCAGGTAAGTGCTGAAATTTTTCAAATCGTTCTAAAAAAAGTATTTTTGGTTGGAGAGGTCGATTACAATCATTTTTGGTCATTACACATACATCATTAAAATTTCTTACCGAAAATATAACGCTTGACCATACCATTGATATGTTTCCCTGAAATTTCATGCGTATCTTTAAAACATCATAACTCCTGAACGGATTGGACGATTTCAATTTCTCACAATACAAATGACGCGTATTTTGGCGGAGAATATGTAGAAATTCTAAAAATATTGGAAAAGTTGTTCCCTGACCCCGTAAATTGAAAAAAAGCTCCATAAAAATGGTCCAATTTTCAAACAGCCATAACTCCTACAATAGTGAATGTATTTCAATGAAACTTTTTTCTGAAGTGAAGCTCATCGGTACCTACAAAAAAATATTAGACAACTTTTTCGTCGGGTGTCAAACAAAATTACTAAAAATGAAAAACGAATTTTTAAGTACAATCGACAGGTGCTTATATTTTTTGGCGAAAAAAAAAATTCAAATCGTTCTAAAAAAATTATATTCGATCGCGGGAGTCAATTACAATCATTTTTAGTCAATAGACATACCCCCGAAATCCTAACCATTTTCGAGAAAAAAATTCAGTACTGGCGGAACTTTAAATGTTAATAACTTTTTAACGAAGCCTCTATCAACAAATTGGTATTCTTGATTTTCGTCCTATTTTGGCTTCTAGAATCTCCCAATATAGTTTTTCCCAGGGGTGGCCGAACACCTTGTCTAAAATGCAGCGTTTAGAATTTGCTCGTGAAAACATGAGTATAAATTGGAATACGATAAACCTTTACTTCATCTGTATATGATTTGTTTCATACCTTTTCTTTAAATTTAAATGAATTGTGAAGAATATCAAAGAGTTTTAGAAACATATTTGCTTCCGTACATTGAAAAATATGATATAATAACGTTTAAATTTGAACAACATAATGTCTCTATCCATCATAGTGCCAATACTCAAACATGGCTTAGAAACCATAATATTTCAAATTTCATATGGTCAAATTGTTCTCTAGATATAAGTTCCACGGAAAATATATGAGGAATATACGTTAAACGAATTTATCAAAATAATAAAAAATATTCTACAGACCAGGAATTAAATTAAATTAAGCTTGATAGAAAATCTTGTAAGCAATATGAAATCGAGAATTTTTCAACCAATTCGCCGTCATGGATCAGCTACTGATTATTAAGAACAACTTTCATTGTAATTAGTTCATAAATAAATAATTATTTATAACCAAACTTATAATTTTGTTCATCCCTCAAACAGCATTTTTCTCAAAAAGGATAACAATTACTTGTTTACATAAATATTGCCAAATTTTTTCCTATTACTTTACCTTCTCCGTATTTTTACGTAATTCCGCAAATGAAGATAGCAACAGCCCTAACCATAAGAACAAACGAGTCCAAAATGAAGCTTATAATATTGGCCAGCAGTGTATTGTAGTGTTGTGATATATTGTTTTATCGGTGCACTGTGTCGATGTGGTATTTTATCACCGTGACACTTGTTTGCTGTGGCATTTTGGCGACGTGGAATTATAGCACGAAACCGGCTAAACAGTTTGATACTTTTCACTTTAAAGAGTTAATTTCCAATTGCATTCTCTTTGCTAGCATTCAGTTTGCGCCACTATGGGTTACCAACAATCATGGTAAACGTATTCACGTGGTTAATTACTCGTATTATCGATGCAGTTCAAGTTATCGTGGATATCAGCACATTAGTTGCGGCCGTTTAACGATACGAGGACTAAATTGTCTCTCCGAAACCGTTCTGCACGCGGTGTGATTTTACGAATAGTTTCAATAAATATTGCGACCGAAAAGAAATAAAATGAATCGATGCTGGAACGCCTACGCTGTCTCGGTTGATCAACGGCGATCAATTTTACAGCAAAGTGAAACGGTTACTCGACGGATTTGACGCCCCTGGCGCTAAGCAATCAGTCAAGAATAAACGAAGATGGAAGGAGAACGAGTGCAAGTCGTTCTTATTCGTTACGCGTCGTAGCAGCAATTTTCACGGCGAAGAGTAAGAAATTTCTTCCTCGTCCGAGTCGCATTTTAACTCATAAATGCTAGAAATTCCAAATCCCATTTTCTCCCAACTATTACTGGCAACAATAGAGTACCTCCAAGTTTCAGTTTAATGACTTATTTCACATTATTATCTTCCTGACTTATACTGTTACTGATTTCACGCCTTTCGTTTCAACGATTTTTGAATGAGCCTTTTTCATAAAAAGAATTAAATTTAATTCCGCAAATTGATCATTGAAATAAATAAATTTTTATTCGCACGATGTTCTATATTACACGATCAGATTTTGTAGGTACAATTGTGTAAAATAAACTTTTTGTTATATGCCCGAATTAAATTAAATAAACGATTTCTCAGTCCGAGTCTATTTTCTGCGCTAAGAAAGAGGAATATCTAGTTAATTCGCGGGTAAAAAAAAGAATTCCTGGAATGCTCTTAGTTTGTTAATATTTGAAACCATTTTTTTTAGAATTTGTTTCCATCGTTATTATCGATCTAGTTCTGTTTACGACGAGTTCCATTTTGAGAGTCGTGAAGTACAAGTGAAAAAAACATAAAATCGCGACCATTATTCCAACTATGGATGTGTCCTGACCTGTCCTACAAAACATGATGCTTACACCACGATATTCAAGTGACCCCATTTTGCCATGTCCTCGTTCCCCTCCCTGCTGCATTATTCTTCGTGGCGATTTCTTAATTTCACTTCTTATTAACGGCGAAAATTCCGGTAGGCGAGACTTATTAAGCGGCAAACATTTTAATGAAAAAGTAAGTTGCCATTTTGTATGCAAGTGGAATAGGAGACGCAGTATTAAGTATGGTAAAATTTTAATGCGCCTCAAACTCTAACTCTGAAATTATTTAAATGTATGTTCTGCATTCGTACCACGTAGATAGTTTCTTTTTTTGTTCAAACGCCATCACTCGTTTGAATACATATTTAATCACATTGCTGTCTTTTTTTTTACGTTCTACTTGTTCCGATTTTATTATCTTAAGAAGGAAAAATGGTCTAAACGTATGGATGCAATAAACTATCTAGAAACACTGTTTATATTTATAAGCTGCACCACATTAACAAAAGTGTAATTTTTGTTTAAATACGATAAGTGATTTAGAAAATATTCTCTACAGAATACTTCAAATTTTCAGCTTTTTAAAGCCAAATGAAAGAAATATTTTCAGAAATTATATTAATTATTCATTTTTTATCTTTGAAGTTTGATGGTATTTCACTTGTGTACTCTGTTCTTGATTTATAATATTGATTTTTCGTACGATGCTACGTCTGACCAAACACATCGTACATTCCTGCAGCGTGTTTATGACTGAGAAATTCTTCGTTCTTCTACATCTAGGAAATACCCATAGTGGCGCAAACTGAATGCTAGCAAAGAGAATGCAATTGAAAATTAACTCTTTAAAGTGAAAAGTATCAAACTGTTTAGCCGGTTTCGTGCTATAATTCCACGTCGCCAAAATGCCACAGCAAACAAGTGTCACGGTGATAAAATACCACATCGACACAGTGCACCGATAAAACAATATATCACAACACTACAATACACTGCTGGCCAATATTATAAGCTTCATTTTTGACTCGTTTGTTGTTATGGTTAGGGCTGTTGCTTTCTTCATTTGCGGAATTATGTATAAATACGGAGAAGGTAAAATAATAGGAAAAAATTTGGCAATATTTATGTAAACAAGGAATTGTTATCCTTTTTGAGAAAAATGCTGTTTGCGGGATGAACAAAATTATAAGTTTGGTTATAAATAATTATTTATTTATGAACTAATTACAATGAAAGTTGTTCTTAATAATCAGTAGCTGATCCCTGACGGTGAATTGGTTGAAAAATTCTCGATTTCATATTGCTTACAAGATTTTCTATCAAGCTTAATTTAATTTAATTCCTGGTCTGTAGAATATTTTTTATTATTTTGAT